GCAAAGTACAGTAAGTATAAACATCTGCAATTTCAAAAGTATAGGAATAAGTTTAAAAAGTACATTGCAAAGGGATACATATGGTATGAAATGTTTATGTACTCTTTAAATGCCTCCAGAGCAATGGTATAGATTTTCTGTGGATGAATATTTACTGTATAAAAATATATGTGGGAGAAATATACACCAACTTCAGAATAATGATTACCTCTGGAAAAAAAAATGAAAAAAGGATGGAGGTAGTGTACAGCTTTCACTACTTCCATAATATTTATTTACTTTTTTGATTTCTAAGAGAAATTAACTGATATGGAAAAATGTTCATATTTAATCACTGTATTATATTTAATAAACATATTTAGTATGTAGCAGTTGCTGTTGTACATGCTTTACAAATATTGCTTGATTTAATTCTAATGATAAAATCTATGAGATAGTATTATACAATGCTGATTTTGTAGATCAGGAGAGTGAGACAAAGAAAGTTTAAGTGGCTTGCCCAAGTTCACATAAAGCTCGATTTTGAAGCTAGGTAGTCTGTTTACCGACATCACGCCCTTTCTTGTGTAACTCGTTTCTTCAACATCTGTAGTACATGTACATGGATATTTATAATGTAATTTTTCATACCTTGGAACATTCTTAAAATTATCATATTAAAAGAAAACAGAAATGAAAATGGAGAAAAGTCTGCTTGCCACTATTAGGTAATAAATGGAGTGTGTATATCAAAAAAGCCAGTTGATAGAAATAAGTCCCAACATATCAATAATCTTAATAATGTAAATGGTATATACTCATTCGTTAAATTTCAGCTACATAATATTTAGAAGAGAGAAGTCTAATGCACCAAAACATAGGGACTGAAAGTAAAAGGATAAAAGGAAATAAGCTAGGTAAATATTAACCAAAAGAAAGATGGCATGTTTATGTTAACTTTATAAAAGGTAGGTTTTAATAGAAAAATAATAATTTTTAAAAATAGAGAAGGCAACTCCATCATGGAAGTCTTTCTTAAACAAGAAGATAGTTATTTAAAATTTGTGTGCACCTAATAAAATAACCACACATATATACTCAAAAATGGTAAAACTTCTGGGATAATTTTTTAGTTCATCCTTTTGGTGATTTTATGTGTCAGTTTGACTGGGCCACTGATTGCCAAGACATTTGATCAAACATTATTCTGTTGTGTCTGTGAGAATGTTTCTAGATGAGACTAACATTTTACTTCATAGTCAGAGTAAAGCAGATTCCTCTCACCATGTGGGTGAGGTTTATGCAATCAGTTTAAGATTTGGGTGGAACAAAAAGGAGAAAATAACAGGAAATTCCCCCTGGCTGACGGGCTTTGAGCTGGAACTTTGTGTTTTTATGCCTTTAGACTCAAACTAAAACCTTGGCTCTTCTCAGATCTTGAGGTTGCCAGTCTTCAAACTGAAACCACATTGTTGGCCATTCTGATTCTCAGGTCTATGAATTCAGATGAGAACTATCAGTTCTTCTGGGTCTCCAATCTGCAAACTGTAGATCTTAGAACTTGTTGGCCTCCATAACTGCATTAACCAATTTTTTTACTCTCCCTTTCTTTCTCTTTCTTTCTTTCATTGTTTCTCTTTCTTTCTTTCTATATATGTGTGTATGTATATGTATATATGTATGTATACATACATATACACACACGTATACAAGAGTGAAGCCTTGTGTATATGTGTGCACAAATATACATGCATATACACATATACACATGTACATACATAATATTGTTTCTGCTACTCTGTAGAATCCAGACTAATACAACCCAGAAATGGATTATTTCCATAAAAATTTCTTGAATATTGATGTCAAGGTAATAAAAATCATTAAAAAACAAGTTTTGAAAAATTAAATAAACTTATTCTAATTGGTATATATCAACTTCCAAATACAATAATTTGAGAAAGAATACTTTTCTCAACCACAAATAAAACTTTACTATTACTATTTTACATTTGGTCATATACTAGTATGTAAGCAAGTCTTAACAAATGTCAAATAATCAGCATCTTAAATACCATAAGTTCTTTGACCTCAAGCAATTAGGTTGGGAGTCAATTGCAAATGATTTAAATGCTCATTTATTTGAAAAATTAAAATGCCCATAAAGCAGTTCTCAGGAATTTTATGAATCCATACATCAAAGAAAATAAAAATTAAAGCATTCAAATATACTCACACATGTATACAAAGATGTCTGTACAAGATTTTACTTTGTTATTGTTTGTTATATTAAAAGCCTTGAAATGACATAATTGTTCATCATGAATGAAGGAACTTTTAAATAAACTATTGTACATCTACAAAATGGTAAATCTAGAAAATAGTCCATTAGTGTTATTAAGGAGAACAAAGTTGCCCTTCGTTGATTAAAGTATTATTAGAAGAAATGTTATGTACAGAATAACATATAGAGTATACACTCATTTTTAACTTAAAAACATTTATTTTAATATGATATATATTTCTAAGAAATTAAACAAACTTGGATTAGGGACAAATTCAGAAAGGAGAGTTAGACATCTGGGCTCAAGTACTCTTTGGTATTCTCTGATGTTTATTTTTTCTTTCATTTCCTCTATGCATTTACAATTCTAAAATACTAGTTAAAATGTAAAATGAATCTAAGAATACCACCCTAAAAATTTCTCTTCTGAAATATTGTCAAAGAGCTTTGGGATTCTTCCTCAAGTGATTTTTTTCCTTTGGTTTTAGTGCTGGCATGTGCATTGGAATACTCAATAGAATCTATCCTCAGGAAAGTGTATTATATAATGTCATCAGTAAGTTAATATTTAAAAAATTATTTCAGTTGCCTGAACTAAAAACACGAGGTGCCAGGGAGACATCTGGAAGGAAGAAAGTGTGTAAAAGACATTCATACTTTCCATGTCACAATTTTGCTCTGACAAAATTTCATGTTGAGACATCAGCAAATGCTTTTAACTATTGAAAGTTTTCCTGCAGTCTCTATTTCTTCAGATAAGAGTCTCCATGTTACAATATTCTTAATTGTAATATCTGGTCTGAAGTAAAAAAAGATTGCAGTTCTGGGAAAAGTGAATAGAGAACTCAGATGAAAGCATGTTTACAATAGGCCTCAAATTTAGAGCTTCAAATTTACTTACACATAATTTTCTTAAAGGCCTGCATAATTTTAATTTTATTGCAGTCATCACCTTCAGACACTGGTCATTTTGGAGAAGCAATCACAGAAATCTGAAAAATAAAGGCCTGATGAGAATAGTTAAATTAACCACATTCCAGAAGCCCAACTCTGAAAAGCAAAGGTGTTTCAAATACAACAGGCCAAATTCTACATTTCTCCTCTATTAAGAAATGTAATATTGCACTTATTAAAAACAAATGGAGTGTTAAATAAAAAATAATTGGATTAAGAGGAGTCATTATATAGTGAGTTAAAGTGACACAGGAATAAATTGAGAAGACAAGCAAGACAGTGATAGAAAACATATTGTCTATTAATTTACTTTGGAGTAATTATTTTGTTTTTGTCTATATAATATTGCCATTAAAAATAATCTAATTTCATATATTTACTTCCAGCATGTGAGTGATTTTTTTTTATTTTTTATGTTTGGATACCTGATCAAGGATTCCTTATAATTTTTTCCCCCACAAATTAGCTAGCTAGTTGTCTGAATATCTCTCACTAAGTAGTTTGTCTTTTCCCACTAATTTTAATATAAACTTGGCATGTATTTTATTGGCTCTTTTACTACATCTCCAGGTGTTGAAATTGTTCAGATTTGTTATGGATCCTCTGTGCTTTTTTTTTTTTTTTGAAACAGAATCTGGCTCTATCTCCAGGCCGGAGCACAGCAGGCAATCTCAGCACGCTGTAACTTCCGCCTCCTGGGTGCAAGTGATTCTCTGGCCTCAGCCTCCTGAATACCTGCATCTACAGGTGCATGCCACCATGCCAGTTAATTTTTGTATTTTTAGTACAGATGGGGTTTCACCATGTTGGTCAGGATGGTCTCGATCTCTTGACTTTGTGATCCACCTGCCTTGGCTTCCCAAAGTGCTGGGATCACAGGTGTGAGCCACCATGTTTTTGGGGATAGGAGGAGGGGCTTAAACACCATTTTTCTGCTAACCATTAACAAATTTCTATCTCTAGGACAGATCTTTGCTCTGACCTTCAGACTTGGCATATCTATCTGCCTGCTTTACTTCACCACATATCAAAACCAAACCTTTATTTCATCCTCAAAACATGTTTCCTCCTGAAGTGTTTCACTACTGCAGAAGTTCACAGCACCAAATACCCTATACTTCAAGCTAGAAATGTAGTGGATGATCCTTGAGGCAGCCTGTTCTCAATGACACTTTATGCTTCACATTCAACTCTTCACAGGCTGTGCATCCTTCCAAGAATTATATAGACTTAGGCCAGGCACAGTGACTCATGCCTGTAATGCCAGTACTTTGGGAGGCTGAGACAGGAAGATCGCTTGAGGTCAGGAGTTCTAGACCAGCCCAGACAACATGGTGAGAAAACCCATCTCTACTAAAACTGCAGAATGAGTCAGGCATGGTGGCGGGCACCTGTAGTACCAGCTACTGGGGAGGCTGAGGCAGAAGAATTGCTTGAATCCAGGAGGTGGAGGTTGCAGTGAGCCAAGATCCCATGGTGACTGCACTCCAGCCTGGGCAACAGTAAGAGTCCATCTCAAATATATATTATATATATTATATATATATAACATATATATATATATACACTCACACTATATACATAGTATATATATATATATATATACACATATTTATTTTCTAAGTCTCTCTCAATATATATATAATATATAATACTAGATATATAATATATATAGTATATATAACATACAGAGACTTAGAGACTATATATTATATATCATATATAAGATATATAGTATCTATATATAATATGTAGAGACTTTGAAAATACTATATATTATATATTGTATATATAATATATATATTATGTAAATATATATATATTGAGAGAGAGAGAGACTTAGAAAATAAATAACCTGCAATTATCCCCCTTTTTTTTCCTTTAGCAATCCATCTCAGTTTCTTTACAGACCAGCTGGAGCTCTGCAATGTCATGCTGGAGTGAGTACCATACTCTGTCGGAATTACTATTCTTTTCTTTGTCAACAGAAAAAATGTTTCTTAAAAAATGCTCACATGAGATCAAGGCACGGTGGCTCAGGCCTGTAATCCCAGCACTTTAGAAGGTGGATCTCTTGAGGTCAGAAGTTTGAGACCAGCCTGGCCAAGATGGCAAAACTCCAACTCTACTAAACAAACACTCACAAACACACGCACGCACACACGCGCGCACACACACACGCACACACACAAACACATAAATTAGTTGGTGTGGTGACCCATGCCTGTAAATCCCAGTTGGTTGGGAGGCTAAGGCAGGAGAATTGCTTGAACCCAGGAAGCAGAGGTTGCAGCGAGCTGAGATTGTACTAGCATGGGCCACGGAGTGAGACTTCGTCTCAAACAAACAAACAAAAACACCAAAAGAAACCACATGAAACTACTAAATAAGTTAAATGATGTCTTTGTTTTAGGGCAAAGTACAAGACAAATTGTTCATTATATGACCTTTATAACTACACTCTCAGGTAATTGATATTTTAGAACCCACTTCATACAGTTGAAATTTGGGTCTAAAAATAGTTCTCTTAGAGTCTGATGTCAGATTACAAAACTGCCTCTTCCCACAATATTGTACTATCTCTCTTGGAGAACCTGCTAGAGAATCATAGAATCAGAAATACCCTTTTTGTGACATCTCCCAGCTGAGCCAAGTTTTAAATTTTCTGGGAAGATATTACCATGTGCAGTTTCAACCATATCTTTTCCAACTTTAACCACAGTTATGCTTCAGTGGCCTACCTTTTTGCCCAATGCCTGCACATCTGCTTTAACACAAAACAATTTGGAAGTTAATAAGAGTAATAACTCTTCTTATTATAGCCTCTGACATATGAAGATGCTTTCCAATCTTCCATGAATATGTGAAATTCAAAATGTCAGCCTCCAAATTTTCAATATAATCTTAGTTGCAGTGGAACATTTGCAGGAGGTAATTTGCCACAGTGGTAAAATATTTTTGTTAAATACTGTTATTTTATAGCAAGATATAGCATTAACTGACACACAAGTGTGTCTTTAGAAATGTTATGGTCCTAAAGAAGATGTTTAGAAATAGGTTTCTTCCTTTTTGCTAAATTGCTATCTAACAGGTTTCTTATGCCTGTGAAATGCTAAATAGTTGGAGTAGTATTGACCAAAAATGAAAAAGAAAATAAAGGCAGATGATTTGAGAAGGAGGGGGTAAGGAAAAGATCAGATGTTTTTTCCTGACTCCTGACTTGCTTTTCATTGTTTTTGTGTTTCTGTTTTTGTTTTTTACTTTCTCCTATGTTTCAAAGCAGACTTTTCCAAACATTGCCAAATAAGAATGTTTTTCATAAAAAAATTTCAAATATTTCTAGGTATTTTTCTTCAAAATCCTGGTTCAGTAATCTTAAATGAAACCTGAAGAACTAGTAGTTTAATAAGTATGCTAAATGATTATTACCAAAATGACAATTGCGAAATATTTAGTAAACCATCAGGAGCTAGGTAATTTAAAACACTTAGTACTTGGTTCTTACTGTAAGGATAAAGGATTTTGTTAAAATGATTATTTAAATGCAACACTTATAAAAAAGATATAATGAGCACCTTAGCACTTTTAGTAAATACCTTTTAAGTATGTTTTCTAAAATGGCAAAATTTTTTCATTAATTTGAAGTTAGCATTATAGCCACAAAATAATTTCTGTGTCGGCTTGTTAAAATCTTCATATTGTAAGTTCTAAATATTATCCTGGGATTTTTAAAACTCCAGAAAAACACTATTAAAAATATACATATAAGTAAAAATGTCAAAAAAAATTTTTAAATAACTCTTACAAATATGCAACAATAAATATAGACAATCTAACCCAGTAGAAGAAAGCAGGACAGGTCAATACTTAGATCAATTTCAGAAAAGAGGAAAGTCAAATGACCAATAAAACATGACTAGATACTGGAGCTCATTAGTAATCAGAGGACATAAATCAAAACCCCATGAAGTTCAAATTTCATTCACTACCTTGGCTACTATTCAAATAATAATGCCAAGTGCAGTCACGGATGTAAGGAAAAGTAAGTTTGTTCCATCAATCCACAGAACTACTTGATGATTTGACAATATTTAGTAAAGTTAGGGTGACTAAAAAAACTTCATTGTTAAAACTGAAACATTTTTAGAATAAAAAAGTACTAAAATATACAAAATTATTTCACATTTAATATATTATTTACTTACAAATAGGTTTTACTATATTGATGGGCCTATAAAATAGTTTTCTTCAAACTGTTTTTGAAAATATAATCTGCCAGGCATGGTGGCTCACGCCTGTAATTCCAGCACTTTGGGAGGCTGAGGCAGGTGGATCATGAGGTCAGGAGATCGAGACCATCCTCGTCAACATGGTGAAACCCCGGCTCTACTAAAAATACAAAAAATTAGCTGGGCATGGTGGCACGTGTCTGTAATCCCAGCTACTCAGGAGAATTGCCTGAACCCAGGAGGCGGAGGTTGCAGTGAGCCGAGATGGTGCCATTGCACTCCAGCCTGGGTAACAAGCAAAACTCCGTCTCAAAAAAGAAAAAAGAAAATATAATCCTTCAGCCTGGCATGGTGGCTCACACTTTGTAATCCCAGCCTTTTGGGAGGCCAAGATAGGTGGATCATGAGGTTAGTAGTTCAAGAACAGCCTTGTTGAAACCCTGGGGTTTCAACATCTTGGCCAGGCTGTTCTTGAACTAAAGATATAGACTTGTACATCAACTACAGTCTGAGATGACACCACCATACTCCAGCCTGGGCAACAGAATGAGACTCTGTCTCAAAAAAAAAAAAGGAAGAAAAGAAAAGCCTTCAAAAAGGTAAAACTGTAATTACTTACCTTGAAGCAAAAACAGAAAAATAACTTCTTTATATTATCATTTGAAAATTAAAATTAGAAGAAATAATTATTCTGGAGCATATTTATATGCATTAATTGATATTGTAGCCATAATTATCCATAGTTCTTTTCTACAAAATGTATTTCTTTCAATTTTTCATTGGTTTTTAATAAAATTACTGTCAAGATTTTCTCGAGTTGCTTTTTGTCATCAATAAAAAGGTCATCGACAATGTTTAGCTTTTCAATGGAACTTTAAAAAGCATTTGTCATATTGTTCAATCTTCTATTCCTGGCAGAAAAACCATTCAACAGCATTATTTTGATTCAAATGATTGATTGAAAAATGAAACTATTTTTTAAATCTAATTTTTCGATAGATGGAAAACAGTATTATTCAACACTTCTGAAATTTCTTCTGTTGTTGAGATATAGGCCAACCGAAATAGAAAACAGTCCTCAGAAAAAATGCCATATGTCTACAATCATCTGATCTTTGACAAACCTGGCAAAACAAGCAATGGGGAAAGGTAAACACCATTTATTAAACATCCTATTTAATAAATGGTGTTGAAAAAACTGGCTAGCCATATGCAGAAAGCTGAAACTGGATCCCTTCCTTACACCTTATACAAAAATTAACTCCAGATGGATTAAAGATTTAAACATGAGACATAACACCATAAAAACTCTAGAAGAAAACCTGGGCAATACCATTCAGGACATAGGCATAGGCAAGGACTTCATGACTAAAACACCAAAAGCAATGGCAACAAAAGCCAAAATAGACAAATGGGATCTAATTAAACTCCAGAGCATCTGCACATCAAAAGAAACTCTCATTTGAGTGAACTGGCAACCAACAGAATGGGAAAAAATTTTGCAGTCTGCCCATCTCACAAAGGGCTAATATCCTGAATCTACAAAGAACTTATACAGATTTACAAGAATAAAACAACCCCATCAAAAAGTGGGCAAGGGATATCAACAGACACTTTTCAAAATAAGACATTTATGCAGCCAACAAACATATGAAAAAGCTCATAATCACTGGTCATTAGAGAAATCAAATCAAACCACACTGAGATACCATCTCACACCAGTTAGAATGGCGATCATTAAAAAATCTGGAGACAACAGATGCCGGAGAGGCTGTGGAGAAATAGGAATGCTTTTGCGCAGTTGGTGGGAGTATAAATTAGTTCAACAATTGTGGAAGACAGTGTGACAATTCATCAAAGATCTAGAAATAAAAATATCATTTGACCCAGCCATCCCATTACTGAGTATATACCCAAAGGATTATAAATCAGTCTGCTATAAAGACACATGCACACTTATGTTTAGTTCAGCACTGTTTGCAATAGCAAAGACCTAGAAACAACCCAAATGCCCATAAGTGATAGACCAGATAAAGAAAAAGTAGCACATATATACACTATGAAATACTGTGCAGCCATAAAAAAGGATGAGTTCATGTCTTTTCGGGGACATGAATGGAGCTGGAAACTATCATTCTCAGCAAACTGACACAAGAACAGAAAACCAAACGCTGCATGTTTTCACTCATAAGTGGGTGTTGAACAATAAAAACACATGGACACATGGAGGGGAACATCACACATTGGGGCCTGTTGGAAGTCGGGGAGGCTGGGGAGGGATAGCAGGGAGTGGGGGCATTGGGGAGGGATAACATTAGGAGGAATACCTAATGTAGATGACAGGGGGATGGATGCAGCAAACCACCATGGTGTATGTATACCTATGTAGCACACCTGCACATTCTGCATGTGTATCCCAGAATTTAAAGTATAACTATAAAAATAAAATAAAACAAATAAGAAATTTCTTCTGTTGCTAATGGAGCTAACATACTAACAATTATTGATGCATATTTCATAAATGCAGAAAAACTTAGATTAATTAAAATTAGATTAAAATGCACACAATTTATTTTTAAAACAGTAATTTAAATACAAAGCCATGCCTCTCAGTGTTATATGCTTACTTTTTCCAAGTTCACATATTAAATCTGTGAAAATGTCATGTTCAGGCATAGTTTTCTTAACGTAGCTAAGTATTCATTGTTGAAATAACAGCAGTTTTTTTCCCCCTGAGCTTTCTATCTTCTGGATTTCAGGATATCATTGTTAGCCTTGTGGTCCCAATCCTGAATTGAACTGAAAACTACAACAAACACACTGTACAAGTTTTATGAGTTTACAATATATTTGTTGGCATTTTTCAATTCATGATTGGATTGAAAGGGAAATTCAGTAAGTTTTAACTAAATATGTACTTGCATTTTTTAGGTCATTGCTGCTGAAACAGATTATTTTTTTAAACGTAGTCATTACCAAGCAACTCACAAATAAACAGTTGTAGGTATATGAGAGATGACAAAACCGCTAGTGTAGCCAGAGTAATTAACTCCTCTCTGCGTCTTCAGAGTCTATTTACAGCACATCATTTACATATATCTAGCCTATTATTCTTTCATTTTTCCCAAACCCACCATACGATAGTCTGGCAGTTTCATGTAAGTGGACCACATAAAAAACTATGTCAACTACTTCCTCCATCACCATGCAAGATTGGAAAAAGTTAGCCATCCTTAGCCACCACTGACTCAGTGCATATTGGTTTATTATCAAGTACTCTGCATGCTGTCCTGGAAAGAGAAGCATTATCTATGTTTAGTGTGAAATAGGTCAGGGAAAAAAAAGTTAATTTTCAGACTTAACCCCCTATTAAAGTCAATTCTGTTAACATTTCATTTTGCTCACATACTGGTAGAGCTATGACAATAGCTGTAAGTATTAAACAAAATGAACATTTAACAAACCCATTCTGGATTTAATCAATGTAACTTATAATAATAGTTCATTAAAAATGAAAAATACAGGACACATATTAAGCCAATTAGGATGAATGAACAATAGTATTAAAGCAGTACTCCTGGGAGCAAATAATGACATTTGGTCCCCTCAAAGTGCAGTCCACCTGTTCTTCTAGTATTTTCATTTGAAACTCTCACACATGTGCACCTGGAGACATAGAGAAAGATTTTTACTGTAGCATTTCAATAAACACATTAGGAACATGATGGAATTCAGTAGACTGAGATCTATGCTATCAATAATAGTTGCTCACAACAAGAAGGTTAAGAGGAAAATCACAAAACAGTATTATTTAGAAATATGTTTTTGATAAATTTATGAAAATATAAAGGTAATATCAGGTTCATGATAATGGCACCTCTGGAAATGGAGAAAAGGAAATGATCCTGAGGGGGTGTATCCCAATTGCAACCAAATGTAGTGTAAATAGGACAAGATATGCATTATTAGCTATCATTTCTAAGTGGGGTTAAATTGGTATTTATTAAGTTGCTTTGTATGTATAACTTTTAAAAATTTTATTCAGAAACAAAATAACTTTATAATGAACAATAGTTACTTTAACTTTGAATCACTTTGTTAAGTAATTGCTTTTAAATTTCTCTGTCCCCATTGTAATTCCAAGGAATTACAAAAAACAAAAATTACATGTTAGAATTGACATTATTGTAGTGGTAAATGATTGAAACATGCTAATAAAATCTATATAAGCTTTATGGAATCAGCGAATAGTCTCCTGTCTTTTAAACTATAAAAGATGGGAATAGGTACCTTTATGCAAATTAACTAGACTAGACTTTAGTAGCACTAATTAAGAGAGCTACAGCTTAGTCAATCAAATTATAATTGATGAGTTATAATTGATGTGAAAATTCTACTTTATTAAATTACCTTTGAAATAATATCTCAAGTTTTCTTCTATTTTGAGAAACATCACTTTACTACTATATAGAAAAAAGATTGTGCAGATTAGTATGATTTCAATAGAACACATTTCATCTTCAAATCTGATAAGAACATTGCAATCCATAAAACACTGTAAGAGAAAACTGTGAATCAGACTAGACATACATTTCAAAGAGCTGATGAGGTTGCAAATCACTTATGCCTCACTCTCGTGTTACCATGATAATGCTTAGCACTTCCATAGTGTTTCCTAACTTCAAAGAGCCTACAAACTTTAACTAATTAATCCCTACATGGCCCGGTGAGGTAATGATAAGAAGCCCCTTGAAGAGAGCATCTAACTATATTATTCACATTTGCTTGTATATAGAATTCAGCATATACACCATATTGTCTTTTCCTACCTTTCTACTTCAGTCTTCAGAGAAATTATATTCATATGTGAATATATGATGCATAGCAATCTATTGTGAATAAAATTATGTACACTGCATCTGCAACTAAAAGCTAACAGAGAAAGATATATGTATAGTCAACACATGAAAAACATCTGGTACATTCTGCTGTATTTTCTTTTCTTATTCATTTACACCTTATACTCAGATATTTCAGAGTAGGTTTGTTAGATTTGAATAGGCTAAACCTTTTCAATAAGGCTATACAATTATCTTTTTAACTTTATAATTTTTTATTTATTCTGAAAGCACATTAAAACTAAAAGTTTATAATTATGCTGAATGTAAGAGAATATCATATGTGAAAGCTTCACCAAATGAAAGAATATTTACCTACTGTATTAAGAATTCTCTCTAGCAGGATTCCTTTCTCTCTGCAGGTAGCTGGCTGCAGGGGTCTACCAAAACAAATCTATTTCTGCAGTAAAGGCTAACACTGGGTCACTCAAGAAAGAATACTTTTAGTCCGAAAAGCACAGTATATATTTTCCCCTAATAGGGTAAATTCTTATCCAGTTTTACTGTTCAACTAAAAATTCAATTAAAATTAATCATTTTCTTTTTTATAACAAAGAAAATCTGGTTACTTCCTAATTACTTGTCCAATATCTAATCTCTATAACTACCTAAAATTACATAGACATACTCATAGACATACACACACACAAAAGAAACAGTATAATTGAAAGACCATACAACATGCTCATATGTCCTGCTTTAAAAAATGCTCTAGTTTACCATTTGCATTAAAGTGATAGTTATAATCCAATCAATGACATATTTTCAGGAGTCCCTAGGGCATCACTGGAGAAAGTATGTACAATGCAGGAAACATTTTCCTATGCATATATTTTGTTTTTAACTACATTTATACTGTATAGTTAAAATGGCTAACTTTGTGGTCAAACACTGATACTGGCTAAAGTTTATTTTTTTAATATATATATTTTTTTCCAGAATGTTTTGAAATATGCTTCATATGGTTAACTTCATGTGGGTATAGGCAGCCAAAGAAAATGGAGAATACTATTTATTATCATAAGGTTATTATCTCCTGAGTGTCAAATTTGTCATGAAAGTAGAAATGCAGCCACTACTCCTACTTTCGAACAGGACTTTCTGCCAATAGATTCTAAATATGAAAATATCTGTATACTCAAAGCCACTGTTCTGCAGAAAACACGATTACAGCCAGAGATTGAGCCCTAATGATTGGCCTTGGGATCTTTGAGACTTTGGTCAAACTAATTTCTAAGCTATTGCTAAGGTGTTCTCTATTGCAAGAATTATTGACTCTTTAGTCAAACACTCTGTCCTGGAAAACCTAACCTAGTGGACCATTTGATTATGAGATGGTAAAAAACATCTGGAATGCAGACGGCCAGAACTGTAGGATTTCAAGGAAAAGTATATAACAGTATCAAAGTTTGTCTGAATTATGACCATTTACCATTTCCTCATTATGATAATTATGCCACTTTATGAGGCATTTCTACACATCATGTCTTGTTTTGAAAATATTTTTAAATGTTGATTTATCTCTGCAAATTAATATTCTTTTTTAGGGCCATTTGTATAAATTTTGCAACATTTAATGGGAGCTCATACATGGAGATCTTATACAAGGTAAGTAGTGAGACAGATATTGGAGATGGTTTAGCCTGGATGAAGATCAGATATTCTTTCTTTTCTCTGAGTCTCTAATTTCTAATAAGACAAACTACAAAATGATTACAAATATGGGTTAAAAATGACTTAATATTTTGTGTCCAATTTGTTGTTTTCTATCCTATGAACGCTCTTATGCTATATCTAAGACTTAAAATACTTAAAACATTAGATCTTGGTCTTTAGTACACCATGTGGGGGGACCTATGCAGTTGCTGCCTGTAAGATCGTACCTAAAGAAAGAAATCAATAACATACAGCTGAGCAGTCAGTGGTCCAGTGCCAGGATTTTAGCTGAGACATGTATTAGCCTTTCAAAAATTCTCAGAAGTATTTGGGGAAAATGAAACTGGTTTACCAATGCTCTTAAAAATAATTAAGCAAAAGAACATCCTAAACTCTAGTTTAACTGAGCCGAAAAGTAAGAAAGGCAAATATGAATTTGAGACAGGAAAAATACACTGTGATTGCAGGAGAATAGAAAATCCGAGGCAGCAGTTTCATATGACTAGCTAAAACTCTCTGTTCAAATAGCTGCATAAACCATACACAATATTGATAAAACTCCGGAAAACCAGGGTGAGGGCCAAGTTGGCTAAGACCAACTGGACCCAACATGGTACAGGATTTGAGCTATGTTTCACCTAGGACCTCATTATATGCTCATTAACATACTGAATAACACATCCACCAACACCAGGACAGTTCTGAGAACATTCATATTTGGTATAAAAATGGATGGCACCACAGTTCTGAGAAATCTCTACCATTTCCCAAAAATCTTTACGAATATTCCACACCTTGGTTAAAGAAACCTGTAAAGGTAGCAGCTCCAAACTCCCTTGTGTGACTCTCTTGATTAGGCACACACTACCCTTTGTTGAGTGTGTACTTTCACTTTGCAATGAATCTCTACTTTCACTGTTGTCTGACTTATCCTTCTCACTGTGGTGTCAAAAGCTTGGATACTGGCTGGGGTTGAAGTCCCACCAAGTTTGGGGACCTCCCCTCGCCCACCAGTATCAAATTCAGTCAGAGATTTTGTTTTTTGTGTAAATTTATCAGCCAATATTCCAAATCAATGCTACATTATGAAGCATGTCTGAAATGGGTTAACTAAAAACCATTCAATTTCCAGTTATTTTCCATCATGAATGAAAAGGAAGAACTCATGATATCTACCTTTAATTGTAAGGCTCTTTTAATTTTTATAAAACGCTCTTAGCTTAGAGAAAGCAAATGTCAACTGTGTTCTCTTTTGGGGTTAAGACCTTCTTAGAATATTCACTTTGCCTCATGTCATGGCCACCATATTAATGATAAACACTGGGCAAAACTAACAAGAGAAGTTTACACCAGGAATTCTCTGCTTCAAAACAAAAGTTGTTTTGAACTAGGACTTTGAAAATAGTATCTTCAAACATAAGGGCTGAACAATAACATTAAAAAATAACAAGACCTTGGCAAAATTAATATTATCAAAGCACATTACATTTTCACTGAAATATAAAAAGGGTAGTAGGAACTTCTCACTTCAGTAATAGCCAAGGAATTTTAATTATATTTTTTATACTTGTCAAAATGTGTCTTGGGCACCAATTGCAGCTTTTAAAGTCCTTTTATTAACCTTACTATTTAATTTTTCTTACTTACAAGTTGTATCAAACAAAGCCCCAGATAACTTCACTTACCTCTCTGACACTGTGCTATTTCCCTTGTATAGAAAGACAAAAGCTAAATGTCTAACAAATTAATAACAGTATGTGGATAAATGACCATATAATATTTTGATTCTCCATTTGTACAATCTTTTTCTTCAATATTTGTGTTTTACCTTGAATATTGACATTAAACTCTTGAAAGCTATATTTTTTAAACTAGGATGTCAATTATAGTTTTTCCTCTTCTATTCACAAAAAATTTTAAGGCTTCCCCTGTTTTTTAAAACTTCAATATATAATTATTCTAGTAAATAGAAGTTTTATTTGTTCAAGCATACATTTGCTGCCCATTTTATCTTATTTTTTGAGCTTGCGGCATCTTCAATTTATGGGCAAGTACACTTGGCACTCTCAGTTTATTCTCTCAATAAACAGGCTTTCAGTGACCTCATAATTCTGTTGGAAAGAGATCTCAGAACTAAGTTCTTTCATTCTGTTTTTAAGAAAGTCATGAGCAATTCAAATATATGACTAAAGATATAAATCCCAAAAATAACTGGAATTGTTCATAATTTATTTTTTTCTGGAGATAACAGCCTTTAAAATCTTACCTAAAACTTCTCTTGATGATGATATAATTAATAAACATTATTATGAAAGTTTCTTAGAGTTGAGAAGGATTTCTAATTATGTGCAAATAATGAAAATATAAAGATTGAAAAAGATTATAATGGAAGAAACCTTAACTACTAGATTAGTGAAATACACACAGTAACTTTTCATTCAAATTATATATATTTTTAAAAAGGGACAACTTGTAATGTACATTTTTGGATCTTTCTCTGCAATTATGCTAACAAGTATCATGCTGAGAAAGGATTAGTCCTGATGGACAATCAAAGACAATGCTTCCTTCCTGGTAAAAAGGTGAGAAAAGATGTAGATAACTGAGCTGCAGTTATTAGGCATAGCAGCAGGTGGTCCATCTGACCAGTTAAGGAGCAAGATCCAAGTTTGCTAAAGCAGGGAAACTGTCTAGTCACTATTGTTGGTTCCCTGATGCCATCATATATGTAACACCTCTGACTTGGAGGGTGAAAACCATGTTGTACACATCTCCCTGTCCAATTTAGTGTTCATTCTTCAGCTTGGCAGCCATGACACCCGACCAGGTAAAAACTCTTAGTAGGGTGAAGCATTTGGCACAGCAGCAGGACATGGGCACTGGACATGGGCACCTGCAAAGTCTGAAGGAACAGAATACATCCCTAAGGAGAAGAATCAGAAACAACCTACTGTCCTGTAGTCAAAAGAGGGAGAGAGGGATATCAAGATTTTAAAGGCAAACTTAAATTGTGTTTTATTACAGCCTCCATAATTGTTCTTATAGTAGCCAATATAGCAAAATGATGGAAAAGAGAAAATATGCTGTTAACTTTTGATAATATTGCCATTAATGATTGTGATATATTTTCATACACTTTTATATTTCAGTTCGTGTTTTATGCAATGTTACCATCTGAAAATATTTTTCCTAATATCAAAGTCTGAAACCTAAAATCAGGTAGGATTGATTTTCTCTTTACTGCTAATTATTGATATTATATGTCAAAATTCAATTCCACCATTTTTGAAATATTAAAGCAGCATAATAGGTGTACAGTTAGCTTATCCCTCATACATTGTATAAACTTCTGATATTAACATGAGGAAACTACAGGTCTCCAAATGAACTAATCATATAATACTAAGTAAACATGCCTGTGTCTAAAGATATGAGGTTAGGTTACATTCCAAAAGGAGAACGTGGAATAAAAACATGGTATCTTAGAAATGGGCGTCTAATACAATCATTTTTAATGTACCTCCCAGAGATTGCTTAAAGGCAAAGGTGACCACAAGGCCAGTGGTAGATGGTTACAAGCCGTCTTCCCCAACATCTGTGTAAATAGATTCAAAGAACCAAAGGCTGCAGTTTCAAAAATTAAACTACAAAAGGCTATATCTATAACCGTACACAAAATCGCTTTGTCTACCCCTTCTTCTTACCCCCTACTACTTCTGGTGCAATTAAAGAAAAAGGATGTCTGAAGACCACCAAGAAGTAAAAGGGCAGAAGGAGGACATGGGAATAATTATTTTCAAGGGTGCCTTGAAACTGTAGTTAGTCCTTCTTTCTGTACTCTGTAGAATATCTTTGCATATAAATCAGGTTGATGTGTTCAGATCACATTTGTTCATAAAACGTGCAATTTTTATTGACACGAATTCTACATTTCTATCTTTCTGTTGTTTTAATTTGCAATTATATAGTTAAATATGATGTAAAGGGAGGGTATGCTATATTGCTGCTATTTGTGAGCATTAACACAAAAATTGTGGGTACTTCCAATCTCAGGAAAAGATACAAATAACCGTTTTAGTAATAGGTTATTTAGTTAACCTATTACTCTAAAATGCACCTTGTACAATAAACCCAAATTTAGGAACCTAAACTTCCCTAAATTCCTTAAGGAAAAGGAATACAAATTTTGACCAAAACAGAAAAACTGCAAGAGGAGTGGGAAGATGATGGAGATGGTAGTGTATTTCAGCTTCTGAATATGTGTCAGCCTTTATTAAAATCTGTGTGCCAGATACACAACATACAATTAAACCCCTTCAAGATAAAGACAAAAAATTAAGACAGAATTCTGAAGACATGTGGCCCAGTAAGAAAACTATATTTATCTTACTCAAAAATCATTTTTCTTCCCTACAAAGCCTACTGTATTTCTTCTGAAAGTATTGATTCACAGGTAAGAAATTTGCTGACATCTGAAACATTTTAAGTCAATAAAAAGTTTAAAATATAACTCCCCTAAGTAACTAGCAGGTTATGTTCTTTCTGATTAGAAAAGCTGTGAAATTCACTATGCCTTCTTTTGTTTACTAACTGATCAGACCTCAATCTATTCTCTACCAGTATATTAACACAGTGAATGGCACATTTATTTTTCCATTTCATGGTCTTTAATTTCTTTCTCAGTAGATTTTTTATATATCATCATTTTTTGAAGCAGCTAAGACAATTTTTTACAATCATATAGAAAAATAAGAAAAAAATGCTGCATAATCTATTACATCTCTATAATCTGAGACTTCATTTTCACATTCCCATTTTATTTCTCATTACCTTTTCTTTTGTTTATTTAATGAAATGGTAAAATACAACCATTTTCAAAATGGTCAGCTTCTGTTTTTCAAATTTAAGATGATGCCTATAGTCCTAGACATTAAACAACAGTACCTGGAACTGACAGGCATAACCCTCCAAAATCCTTCATCTCTCTGGCTTCTCTACCTTTGTGTTTAAAAAGGAGAAAACACAACTGTTTTTCTGATTGCTTTTAACCGCCCTTCCTTTGCCATTGCTTGAGATGGTCCTGTCAAGAACCTAATGCCCCTCCCTATTTATTAGAGATTGAAGTGAACATAGCTGATGGGTTGAGAGAATGACCTTTTTAAATGGCAGCTCAATAGTGACATAAAAACTAGAAAACTTGGCTACATCAAAAAATTTCATGAAAATTGTGAATATGCGTGACAAACCTACCACGTTTTTTTCTACCCTCTCTCTTCTGAGACCCACATTGAATTCATAAATAACAGTAAATATGAAACAAAAAGAAGAAAAAAGTATACACTGCTAATGACAAATAACCTCTATATCATAAGAGAGATAAAGACACCTGCATGGCAGAAGGGCAGCTAAAGTCACAGCCTTCAGAATGTCTGAAGGGAATTCAGCCAAGAAAGACTCTGCAACATCCCCAAGAGACTCTAGACTAGAAAACAGAAGTTTTGCCTAAAAACAGAAATAAGGTATAAGTCTGTATAACATATGCATTGAACTATTGAGCCCTCCGCCTTCTCTCTTACTCTGATATAAGAACTTCTGCCATTGGGTGAATGTCCTCTCCACCTTCTATTAAGGCACATAGAATGGTTCTATTATTTTATCAGGTTTCTACCTGTGTCCAAGAAGGGCGAGACATTTGAAGAAAGTTTCCAACATGTCAATGTGAAACTACAATCAATACACAGAAAATTTCTGTCCTCGTGGAACATATGTTTCAGAAGAATCAGAAGTAACATCCTATTGTATTCAAGCCATTGATGTAGGAAGAGAACTTGGAGAAAGAAACAGTGACGGAGGAGGAAAATCTATAGATTATCATGTGTGATAGTGTACACATAGTTACATACATATTTGTGTTTCTGAGTAATACATGTAAGTAACTTTAAAATAAAATTCTATGGAAGAATTAAAGTTTGAATGCAGCTGTCTCCTCCATCATTCTTTCAAAATGCAAGAGCTCAAAAATCAATGAAATAAACAGACAAAAAATTGTGTTGTTTTGTTTCTGTTTTATTGATTATGATAGATTGCCTCTGGTTTTAGTGACAAAGATTTTGCTACCATTTCTTTGGTTTTGGCAAACCCAAAGCTACAGAAATTAATCTGCATTGGATGAATGGTGAAAGTAATCTTATCTTATATTACTATTATCATCACTTAATGCCTGAAGATATTTAATAGGCTTATTTTAAATCTGTATTCCATCTGTTCTGTAACTCAGTGGCAGATAAGGTAGATTGTTCAGTTTGATGTAGTTCTTTTGAGGAGGATTTCTTATGCAAGTGTTAGTTATTTTCAACTCTTATCTCATTTTCTCTTGGGGTGTCAGCCACTCTCCTTGCAGTATGGGATAAAGGTCCAGGGGTAGGGCCCAGTGTTGATTTTATCTATTTGAAGCTACTCTACCAGGAAACAACTATGAGCAGAGCTGTACATTTAACTCATTATGGTGAAATAACATTAGTATCAGACCTCACACCTAGGTAAAAATCTGTACCCTAAAGGATTTGGAGGAGTGATTATAGAAGTTAATCAGTCAATTCATCTTCAAACAAATTGTTTACCCATTTAGGATCTGAAAGTAACTCGAGGACTCCAGCACTGGCATGTGTATGGGCAGAGTTTAAAAGGACTTCCTCTGTCCTATCATCTTGATTTCTCCCACAATGCTGCTCATCAGGTTTCAGTCACATATCCAGATAAAAACATCCTTTATTCTTTCTGGGGGTTTTACAAAGGGACTATTTTGTGATGATGGTTATTAGCTCCCGGAATCCTTACTTACATTTCATATTTGCAGTTTCACTAGAATTGATTTTGGAAAACAAGTTACCAGCCTTGGCTAATTTTTTATCTTATTATTGACCAGAAATAAATATCAAGTTTTATAATTTGTCCTGGTTCCTTTTTGTAATATTACGGTCATGCAGAACATGATGATCTGGCAAAGAGTAAATAGTAAATTTTAAAATTCATCATTGACCAACAATTGAGATGCTTTGTGGGAAGGCTGCTCAGGGATAAATGGGGAATTGGTCACAACACTGAAAACCTCGGAGAATGTGTGACTATTCCAACAGATGATGGAAGTTACATATATCACTCATTTTATTTCTGATAAGAATATCTTCTCTTTTAATGTTATCACCTCAGAAAATAAAATTAAGGAGAACAACCATCGAACCCCCTCCCCGCTGTGTTATAATGTGAATTTAGAACTTTGAAATGATGACTATTAAGCTTCCTGAATACTAACTTAATTTAAACCAAGAGCAAACCTAAAGTTAACTTAAGAAGTAACATTATTATTCCAACAAAATTGCCAGTTCAATCTCAATCTTCTACCTTCTGGAGAAATCTCGTGTTTTATCTCCTTGCTTATTACAAAAGTAGATCAGGTGATTTATGCAACATGTGTAACTTTTCAAATAAATTAATTCTATAAAAATATATCTCTTTCCCCTGCAGATTGTGACAAATGTTCTGAGCACTGTAAGTAGATTGAATAAATGTTTACTTTCACAGAGGTGGAAATATATATTTGCTTCATTTAATTCTGGAAGTATGAAAAAATATGAGAATATTAAGTTATTTATCCAATAACAATATTTATTAAGTTACATTTAATCCAACAAAGGTGTTCAGTGTTGAAAAAACTGTGCTTAATATAGCCCTATTATGTTAATATAGCCTATTAAAATGGAAGTTATTTGCAAAAATTTTGTCTGAAGACATTTCAGCATTATAGGAGAATGAAGCAGTTAATACAGGGGGAGCAAGTTTTTATGTTAACTATTTTTATTTTTTGTTTTATTTATTTATTTATTTATTTTTGAGACGAAGTTTCGCTCCTGTTACCCAAGCTGGAATGCAATGACGCAATCTTGGCTCACCACAACCTCCGCCTCCTGGGTTCAGGCAATTCTCCTGCCTCAGCCTCCTGAGTAGCTGGGATTACAGGCACACGCCACCATGCCCAGCTAATTTTTTGTATTTTTAGTAGAGACAAAGATTTCCAAGGGTCAGTTTCTCATCATGAAATGAAGCAGTAAAAGGATTACTGCAGGACAGGTCTCTGAGTGGTCTTACGCAAACCCAGTTCTCCTCACTTTCTCATCTGTAGTTCCAAAGAGTACCTATACTACATGCTAGGAATGCAACATCTTGAGATAAGAGGGAAGCTGACTTGAACAGCCATGCTTTGGCCAGGTGAGTTATGTGACATCGCGGTGTGTAACCTGGAGCAGGCTGCCTTTTGCCCCATTTGTACCCTCAGCCATAGTACAAGTTGGGCACATGCATTAAAGGCTCCATCCACCCCACAGAATTGCCTGAGCACTGGGGAACCAGTTTACACTGAACCCTGGACTTCTGTTTTCCCTTGCTGCCTATCAAGCAATCAATCAACTTCATGTAACTTGCTGTGCATGAATGTGTTCAGTCTCATGCAACTCAGACACGTTAGTAACCAGGGCACAGCAAACTGCTTCACACTTACTTCAAGGAAGTGCTGTGAAGATTAAATGAAATAATGCACACAAAACTCTTACAACATTGTCTGGCACTTAAGACTTTGCTAAATGGTAGCTATTATTATCTACATAATGTATTGTTGTAGTTGCTGATTCTGATTCACATTTTAATATGACTTACCAAACGAAAGCACACTTTGTTAAAGAATGACCATGTTAAAGGGTCTGGAGACTAATCATGGTAGACACACTTCAGAGAGGTAGCTAATGGTCAAAAAAGAATCACAAAAATGCCGAATATTAGAACTTCATTCTCCTCAGAGAATGTATAGCTATTTAATATTAAAAATGTAAAGAAATAGACTCACTGTGTCTTTAAGTCACAATGTCATATAGATAAAAATCTTCCAGGTACAGATTTAATTACATCAGGAGGCAGTTCAAAGAGGAGGTTTCTAAATAGAGCTGTCTAAAATGGAAAACCTGCTGATATAGATGCCAATGTACTGCCCATTTCAGGTATTTAAGCAGACATGAGATGGTCAACTTTTCATAATACGTGTAGTAGATGGTACTAATCAAAGAGTGGAAAATTGATATAGACTGATATTTCTTACAATTTAAACCTTTGGTGCTTTTAAAAATAAAGTCTATTTAGGTTGCCTTTAGAAATGAAAGATAAATACATAGCAAGTGCAAGGTGGTGGTCATGAGGGAGGGGTAGAGGAAGCAAAATATCAGATTGGGCTAGAAAAGAATCGATTAAAAGGATTGTAAGAGAACATCTATTCTATGTTAGATACCAGACAATGCTATAGTAACTATAAAGCTGAATAAAAATGGAATAAATATTAATGTAGAGAGACATTAAGAACCAAAAGATATTTATTTTCAGGTATAAAACATTTATCTTTTCATTATGGCCATATATTTGAAATATAATAATAGACATTTGATATGAGAAGGATGATTTATTGCTTAGTACATCCCATGTGTTATCTAGACAAACCTATGTTTCTTGAGTCATATTACCCTATAGTACAGCATTTTGAGCTAAGCACAGTTACTTTCTCAATTTACATATAAAGAAACTGAAAGTTATCTAAGAATTCACAGTAAAGATGAAGATTCAGACAAGTCAATGAAAACATAAATTATACAAGTAAGATTAAGAACTAAGTCTTACTTAGCCTAAGAACTCATTCTTTTCTCTTACAGAAACTTTGTTTTAAATAAAAGAGTTACTGGAATAGATAAAAAAATGGTAATGATATAGATCACTTAAATTGCCTGGGTAGAGCCACAGGTATGCACTTGAGCACATGGTTGAGATGCCATGTTGCCACTATTGTTTAGATCCTTTGCTTTGAAACATTTATACTAAAGTTTTATCTTTGCATCTGAGGCATCATACATGACACAAATAGTTTTAATGAAACACCGTGAAATACATATCTTAGTGATCAGTTCAGCACTTGCAATTTGCCAACTTTGTTTTAATCAGGAGTTAATGATGTATGGCACTTCTAGTAAGTAAAAGAATGTTTGAATTGCTGTGAGTTATTTTAGTAATTGCTCAGCTAACCATTTAAATTATCAAAGATCTTTACTTGTGCAATGCCATATAAATGCTGGAAATTAAAAATTAATCAACATGATTTACGTAACTAAAAGCTGCCATCTAATGGGATATTTTTCAGTAAGACGACAGCAGTAATTATGCTGAAAAATATTCATTCCTGTAGTTTGAACGATTATAGCAATTTCCACCAGGGGATTTCGCAGTCAGATTCTAGTTTTGGGCAACAGTGATTAATATAATGGTTATTAATGAGAAGTGATTTTGATGCTTCTAACAGTGTTTAGGTGTCATTGCCTTGAAAGGAACATGTTTAGCATATTAATAATAAAGATTGCATTGGACTGGATACTAAGAAATCTATTGGTTTGTTTTTCTTGGTAACATGAAAGGTCAATTAGACATATAAGAAACAATGGAACATTTCGCAGCAGGGCCTAACATTTCACTGCTTTTATCCTTATAACCATGTACAAAGTTCATTAACTATGCAAAGGTAGGACTATTATAGGAAGAAAGTGGTGGGATCAGAGGTCACAATCAACAGCAAGGTGACAATCCCTCGTGGATGGCACCCTGAAAGCTAAATTAGAGTGAGAATTACCTTTTTTGGTTGCCAACAGGAAAAAAGGAGAATGAAGCTATCAGCAGTTAACATTATTGGATTAATTTAAATGAATGTTGACAGAGATTTTGTTGGCTTTACATCAAATTGAGTAGAGATAAAGTAATCCCTTATCAAATTACACAAATGTAAAATTGTGGATTAAGTGATTACACAATCCATATGTTTTGGGTAACACATAAATATAAATACACATGTGCACACTTGCAGTGTGAAAATATGGGTGTCTATCTAAATGTACCCAGATCCATTGACCCAGAGTCAGAAAGTTAGAAATTATTCTCAGTTTACCATTCCCTTTCCTAGAATTTTGTCACAACATAATTTTTCCATCTATTTGAAGCCTACTGTTGGTAGCCATGTAATATACAGATACAGTCATAATTTCTATCAATGTCATAATTGATAGAAA